AAGGGAGAGCTTAGACAGTTACAAATAGTATCAGAGTCAGACATCAAATAATGTACTAGCAAGGAGATTGAACCCCGAAGGGGGTGGACACAAGGCAATGTGTCAACAAGGACATTCTTTACAAGTGTGTGAAAACATCTCTCTAACAGATGTATTTTAAAACTGTGAGACTGACAACGATACGTAACGGGCCAAAACGGACAATATTTGCTAGCGATGAGTTTAGGGTATTATAAATGGAATTAGAGCTAGACACCGAAACTGTGAGTAGACAAAGAAAAAGAGGACGTTTAAGTACGAGTTGTGCAATAGATGTTATCTTCAACCTTCCTCAAATAACTCTAAAACCTCAATAGTATAATAGAATCTCTCAGTAGATTTGTTAACTCTAAGTACGAGTTGTGCACACTCACTATGTGTCCATGTTTTGGAGTTTGAGAAAAATCTTAAAAGGGTTCTACAAAAGAAGGGAATGAACTTTCCGTCTCTACGGTTGAAGTATTACTGACCGTTTTGATTTTATTAACCATTAAAATAAAGCATTATAGTAGCATTAGAAACCGTTTTGATTTTATTCACAATTAAATAAAACAATAAATAAGAGAGTAACAACTCTACCTCGGTAGAATCCATAGCTTGCAAGACTACTCAAAGTATTCCAACAAAACATAAGTTCTCTCACATTCACACATCTTCCTACTATAACTCAAACAATCAAACAAGCTCGTAGAAGCCTCTTGAAAAAAAATCTCAAAGAGATTGAAGAACGCGTGTTTCAAAAGAGAAGCGTGAGAGATTAGTGGTCTCTTGGCCGTTCTAGACTCTTATAATCTTGGTCAAATAATATATTTGAATATCTAATATATTAAGATATAATATCTTATTTAAATCACATCAAAAATAGTATAAAATATTCTAAATATATTTAACTAATTTAAATTTCATTCAAATTTTAAATATATTTTTATTTCATGTATCAATATTTAATATATAAAATATAATAAATATATTTTTCTCTTTTAATATTTTTAATATATAAAATATTACTTCAAATTAAATATACTTTTATTTGTATATTAAATATTAATTTTAATTTTTTTTTATATTTAAAAATTCATTTTACTCATAATTACATCTTTAGCTACATTATCTAATAAACAATTTGTTTATGATTTAATTATAAAAAGTCACCGTACATGAGAAGGTGGGACCCATTATTCCAAATATCAATACAAAATAATTAACCTTATTTATCTTATTATAGAAAAGGAATTTCATCTCATGATATTATGTCCACAACTCCCTGTCTAGTCAACCTCACAAAATGGTAGGTATATTGAATCGACACTGCAAGTCATTTTCACTCATGCAATTTAAAGGGCAAGTCTAATAGGTAAGAGTTCAAAACTCAGTCAGGATTAAGATCAAGTTGTATAATCATGATGTGAAATATTAATTTTTTTTAATTAATTGATTTATAAAGAGAAATTAAATATTTCTTGGTCCGGTCCAGTCTTATATAAACTCATTATATAAGATACCGCATTCCCACGAACGATTTATATTAAATCATTTGTAACCATATCAATAATGCTATCAGAACAAGACATCCAACATTATCCATATACTATAAACTCTTTAAGTTATTATTTGAACATTATCTTATTGTAAGTCAACCATATATCGCTCAAGATTACATTAATAACATTGGATTTTTATACCATAGATAATATTAAATTATAAATAAAATATTAAAAATTAAATAATTAATCACGAGACTTTAGATATAGATCCTAACAACAAATACATATCTTTAACCTAGAGAAAGGAAACTCTTCCTCGTGTTGAATCTTTGCTACATTAAAATTCTATATCTCAACCTAATCATCAGAGTTGGGTGTTACAACCACCTCACTAGTGTAGAATTCTATTAAAGATCGCATCCGTGCATATTCTACCTTATAGCCTGCGACTGATTCAGCTTCCATTTTTGGGAGATCAAACGGAGCTCGATTAGTTTCTGCTAGACGAGAAATAAAGAACCTAACCAATACAAGGAACAAGGAAATACCATACCATATCTGCTTTTGTGCCATGACAATCTCACTCGAATTCCGAAAACAAAACTTCGATCATCCCCTCAAAACCCACAAGACCAACCCTTCACGCCAAATCTTCCCTCCCTGGAACCGCCGTCGCCAGAGTAATCTTCTCCACACTGAGCTCCACTGATGCTGCCTTCGCCACCCAGCAAATCGCCGATCTAGCAGAGGGCGATAACCGGGGGCTGGCCCTGTTGCTGCCACTCATCCTGGCGGTGGCTTGGGTTCTGTTCAACATTCTTCAACCAACGTTGAATCAACTGAATCAGATGTCGACAGAGAAAGCGATGGTTAGAAGGAACGAGGATAATAGTGACCTCTCTCCATAAGAACTCACATCGTGCTCAACTTGATCGATGCTTGTCTTGTCTGACCCTCGACTTCTTACTTATTCATGTTTCTACGTACCAAGACCCAATACAATTCTCCTACGTGGAGGGCTCTAACCTCTTCAGAGTTTATGGTCGAAGGGTTTTGAATACTTTTTCCCGTTCTATTCAACTGTTGATTTGTTATTATTATTTTTATTAGAGTAAATATATGATTGAATACGACTGTTGTAATATTAAAATTCAAATGTTTAGAAATTATGTTAGTTAAACATTATAATTATATATTTTTTGAATTATTCATTAGAATATAATTTAAAAATACAAAAATGAAAACGAAAAATGAAAAAATAAAATAATAATAAATTAAGAATAATACAAGCAAGAAAGGTGATATTATAACACGGAGTGAAATGTCCGGTCCCTTCTTTACACATTTATATACATAGCACGATAAATACAACCATTTTCAAATTTGATGGAATTGTTTGATCTTAAAGGAGGGTCGAGTGGATGCCCTTTGGAAGCTAAGTTTTAGATCTCGGTTGCTTCCTCTCTTGTTAGTATTTTGCGTGCATGGTGTTTTTTAAAGAGACTCAAAAGATGTAACAGACTAAGTCCACCACTAATAACTATTGTGAGATCTTACCTTAGCTTCAAACACATAGTTTAGGGAAAGGTTTCTACACTCTTATAAGTTAAGTTTCTTTCCCCTCTCCAACGACGTGGGATCTTACGATCTACCCTTTTCTTGAGGGTTATCGCTTAGTGTCTAGCTCTGATATCATTTATAATAGTTCAAGTCATCGTTAGCAAATATTATCCGTTTTAATCCGTTACGTATAACCATCAGCATCACAGTTTTAAAATACGATTGATAGGGAGATGTTTTCACACCTTTAAAAATGTTTTATTCCCCTTTCGATCTGATGATTGATTGCTATGTCGAATATGTTGAAATGTTAAGAACTATTGAGCAATAATCATAATTAATATCCACGAAACCAACCATACCCATTCATTCATTAATTTATTTTTATAAGGTATGAAATCAAAACGTGAAGACATTATTTGTCAAAAATTCCCATGCAAAATGTCAACAAAAAACGACCAAATTTAAGCTCCTTTGAAGAACAGAGCAAGAACAGAGACAAGAACAGAGACAAGCTCTGTTTTAGAGAGAGAGAAAAAAAAAACAGAGAGAAATGAAAGGAACTCGAACAAAACCTCTTGTGATTTCCAAATACTTCGTGTTATCTCTGTTTTTCTCTCCCTTTCCTTCTTCTCTTATCTCTCCGCCCTTTCTACCACCGTCTCTCCACGGCGGCGACGGACAATCCCAAGCCGGAATCGGGCGATTTAAAGATCCGACCTGGGTACACCTCCTACGGCGATTTCATTTTCCCGAAGCTCCGAAAGATCTGGACGACCCGAGATTGGGACCGGAAAATCCAGGTTTTTTCCAGATTCTTCGAGGGGTTAAAAGGGGAAGGGCTAATCTCGCCGGAATCGAAAGCTCTGTGCATCGGAGCTCGGGTCGGGCAGGAAGTGGAGGCATTGGGAATGACACTTTAGATTTTGAATTCTCGAATGTGTTCGATCATGCTCTGTTTCCGGAGCGGTTCGTGGCGGAGATCGAACGGACGTTGAAGCCCGGCGGGGTCTGCGTTTTACACGTGGCGTTATCGCGACAGACGGATAAGTACTCCGCTAATGATCTGTACAGTGTGACGGCGTTGGAGGCTCTGTTTAGGAGATCGGCGGTGGTACGCGTCGGGAAGATCGACGGCTTTGGATTGGACACGGAGGTTGTCTTCCGGAAAACGACGAACAGGATCCGACGGTCCTGATTCGGTTATTTTTTTGTATTTATTTTTTTATTTGTTTTAATTTTAAATTGAATTAAGAATTTAAAAGTGAATACAGCTGTTATTGGATTATATTTTGGTTTAATTTTTGCTGATTGGACCCAAATTGCTGATGTGGCGTAGACCGGACCCGGTTGTCAATTCTTTTTATTGTTTTTTTTAATGTGATTTTAAATTAATTAATAATGTTTTGTATTTATGTAATTACCACTCATTTTATGGTCATTCATTTAAATTAATTATAATCAAAATTTTAAACCTACGGCTAAACTCGTAAATCGAGTTTTAACGAGGTATTTATGTGAGGATAACCTCGGGGATCCTCTCTTTCTTTGATAAGATTGCATGGAAGATAAATCGAACTTCTACCGTGAATCATTGGGTCCTTACATGCCCACATGGATTCGTACCAACTTGACTGATTTAGGTTGGATCAAGTAGGTAGCCCGAGCTGGGTTTATATGTTGTTTGATTTTAGTTGCCTTTTTATCTTTTTGTGTTTGGTAGTAGACTTTGTGATTGTACAGTACTCACCTCAACAAGTGAGTCAAGTCAAATTGTATTAACATCGTCTATGGTTAAACAACGTATGCTTAAGCCTCTGGCCCCGTTTGAAAAGAAGGTTTTAGAAAATGGAAGCAAATAGATTTTTGAAAGCAAGTTTGAAAGTAAGAATGAGAAGATTTAAAAGCAATATTATATAACTATAAGCAAAATGTAACACGACGACTTAAATAACCTATAACTCTTCGAGTAGGGAAGGCAAGGGAAGGCAAGAATCAAGTTGAACAAACCATGTCATACCACCTTATTGAACAATTCTATCACATCCATGAGTCTAAGCCCTTCATTCTTGTTTGCAACCTTCAATCCCTTTCGTGGCATCCGATCCCTTCCTCCTCCGCTGCAACCCGATCGACAGTCGCCAGGCGTCGAGAACTGCCTCCGGGAGCAGACAAGCAAAGCACCATTGAAGAGAGTGAGACCAGTAAGGGGTGCACCGTGGCTCATATCCAACTCTGCGAATTGCAGCTCTTACATAGTCATCGGCCGATGGGATGAACAGCGATGCTCTGCTCACTGATGCCACTCTTGATGCCATTTCAGTTGCTACATACAATGGCACCTGGTTTTTTGAATTCACACAACAATTTCAGCTCTAAACATAGCTGTAAGAAGAGGGGGTGAGCTTTACTAACCTGACACTGAACATCAATTCCCCAGTCTTTGTATTCCCCATGGAGAGATCTCGAGAATCGGTCCACGTACCTGCAAAACAACCACAGATTCTGTCACCAACAAGCTCAAATGGAAGATTTCGTTTCAATTTTTCAGCTATCTCACAATTAGAAAAGTTAAGGATTTTACTTATGATATTATTAAAGGTCAACTTAGATGTGGAATTTGGAAGCTAATGCGTGGATGGAAAAACGAATTGGGTTTCTGTATGTACGGCTACTGTAACAATTCAAGCTCACCGCTAACCTATATTGTCCTCTTTAGGTTTTCTCTTTCAAGCTTCCCCTCATGGTTTTAGAACTTGTCTGTTAGAGAGAAGTTTTCACACCCTTATAAAGAATGAGATCTCACAATCTACCCCCTTTGGAACCCAACGTCCTTGTTGGCACAACACCTCATGTTCACCCCTCTTTGAGGCTCAGCCTCCTTACTGGCACATTGCCAATGTTTGGCTCTAATCCATTTGTAACCGTCTAAACCCACTACTAGCAGATATTGTCCTCTTTAGACTTTCCCTTTCAGGCTTCCTTTTAAGGTTTTTAAAACGCGTCGGCTAAGAAGAAGTTTCCACATCCTAAACCTACATGTTTCGTTCTCCTCCCCAACTGATGTGAGATTTCATAGCTGCTGCATAAGGAAATGAAGCTGAATTTACAGACAATGTGCCAACAAGGAGCTGTGGCAGTTGCTGAGTACAGCAACAGTACTCTTTCATCTGCCGGTATCTGTAACAGTTTCATCTCAAAATCAGGGAAGAATTTAATAGTTTCTCAAAAGTTGGTTGGCAAAACAAGAAGACATGGCCATTGCTGAAGCAAGTGGGTGGTGAGGGAGGCACATGTCAGTAACGGTTCTTCAAACAGGAAGAGAGAGAAAGAGATGAAGTTTTCTTCTTCATTCTCTTGATTTTCTTTTCCATTTTCTTCCCTCCATGATCACCAAGTCCTGATAACATATTGTGAAATACCACATCGGTCAGAGGAGAGAACGAACCATTTGTTATAAGGGTATGGAAACCTCTTTCTAATAGGCGCGTTTTAAAAACTTCGAGGACAATCCCAAAAGGGAAAGCCCAAAGAGGGCAATATCTACTAGCGATGGACTTGGGCGGTTACAAATGGTATTTAGAGCTAGACACCGAACAGAGTGCCAGCGAGAACGCTAGCCCTAAGGAAGGTGAATTGTGAGATCCCACATCGGTCAGGGAGTAGAACAAAAATTCCTTATAAGGATATGGAAACCTCTCCCTAGTAGACGCGTTTTAAAAACCTTGAGGGAAGCCCAAAGAAGACAATATCTGCTAACAGTGGGCTTGGGCTATTACAAATGGTTTAGAGCCAGGCACCAATTGGTGTGCCAACAAAGACGTTGGGCTCTAAGGGGGGTGGATTGTGAGATTGCACATTGATCGGAGAGGAGAACGAAACATTCCTTATAAGGGTATGGAAACCTCTCCCTAGTAGATGCGTTTTAAAAACCTTGAGGGAAGTCCAAAAGGGAAAACCCAAAGAGAACAATGTCTGCTAGGAGTGAACTTAGGCTGTTACAAATGGTATTAGAGCTAGGCACAGACCGGTATGCCAGCGAGGACGCTGGGCCCTTAAAGGGGTGGATTGTGAGATCCCAGATCGGTCAGAGAGGAGAACGAAACATTCCTTATAAAGGTATGGAAACCTCTTCATAGTAGATGCGTTTTAAAAACCTTGAGAGGAAGCCCAAAAGGAAAAGTTCAAAGAGGACAATATTTGCTAGCGGTGGGCTTGGGCTGTTACAAATGGTATCAGAGTCAGGCATCAATCGGTGTGCCAACAAGAACACTGGCCCCTAAGGGGGTGAATTGTGAGATCCCACATCTATCGGAGAGGAGAGCGAAACATTCTTTATAAGGATATGAAAACCTCTCCCTAGTAGACGTATTTTAAAAACCTTGAGAGGAAGCCCAAAAGAAAAAGTCGAAAGAGGACAATATTTGCTAGCGGTGGACTTGGATGTTACAAGTAAAAAAGAAAGAAAGTTGGGTAGTTGATTACTTACGCTTTTGTAGCAGCATAGATAGCATAGAGAGGATGAGAAGGTACAATAACAGCAGCGCCGGAGCCAATATTCACAATAGCTCCTCTGTTCTTCTTAATCATCTTGGGCAAAACAGCTTTGGTAACCCAAGTAGTGCCTTTCACGTTCACTTTAAAAACATCCATCCAAACTTTCTCATCCACTTCATGGAACAAGTTAGCGTTTGGATATGTAATTCCCACGTTGTTTATCAGAATCCCCACGTCCAAATCTCCAATCACCTCCTTAATCTCAGCAATACCAACGCCAATATCGTCCTCTGTGAAGTCCAATTCAATGATCTTTATGTTTTTATCAGGAAACTGAGATTGGATATCCTTGGAAACTGACTTCAGCTTGGCTGAGCTTCTGCTAATGAGTATAAGGTTAAGGCCTGCACTGGCCAGCTGATAGGCAAAGGACTTTCCGATGCCGTCCGTGGCACCAGTGACTATGGCCCAAGAGCCATAGCGTCTCAGATCCTTGGGGGGTCTGAGAAAGGCTCGGTAAACCCACCGAACCACGGTGGTGGAGCATTGGAGAATGATTAAGAAGCCAAGCAAGGAGAGGGCAAGAAGCCAAATTGGCTGAGAGGATACTAACAGAGAGCATGTTACAATCATGGTGTGAATAATCTGTTACATTAACTGGTTCCCTAATAAGGAGGGCGAGAGAGAGTAGAGACAAAGTAGAGAGAGAGTAGAGAGAGGAAACTCTGTTTTATTACCTACTTCATGTGAATGGTCATTTTCATCCATTCGTTATTGGAAGTTCATGCATGTCCCTTCAACCAAAACAAGGCATGAAGTGGGATAAAAACCAAGTGTTTTCACTATGGCTGTGAGTATGCCTCCAAAGATTAAATGAAACTCAGAAGATGAATATGGCCACCAACCATACGACATTAATGGAGAAATCAGAGAGACAACTGGCACAGAGCTTCCTTCCTTTAAGGAAAACAATGGAAATATACTGTACTGTTATAGTAACTTCTGTGGAGGGCAGTAAGAAAAGGAAGTACATGATAACTTTATAAAAATTTTCCTTCAATGTTTTACCGAGAAATTGGACGATTCTTGAAAAACGGAGTGTGAGATCACACATCGGTTGGGGAGGAGAACAAAACATTTTTTATAAAGGTGTGAAAACTTTTTCCTAACAGACGCGTTTAAAACTGTGAGGCTAACGGCGACACGTAACGGGCCAAAACGGACAATATCTGTTAGTGGTGAGCTTGGGCTGTTACAAATGGTATCTGAGCCAGACATCGGATGATGTGCCAATGAGGAGGCTGAGCCCCGGCGGGAGTGGACACGAGGCGGTGTGCCAGTAAGGACGTTGGGACTCGAAGGGAGGTGGATTGAGGGGTCCCACATCGACTAAAGAAGAGAACGAGTGCTAGCGAGGACGCTAGGCCCCGAAGGATGGTGGATTGTGAGATCCCACATCGGTTAGGAAGGAGAACGAAACATTTTTTATAAGGGTGGGGAAACCTCTTCTTAGCAGACACATTCTAGAAACCTAAAGGGAAAGCCTACTAGGAAAAACCCAAAGAGGACAATATTTGCTAACGGTGAGCTTTAGTTCGTGATTCAGACTGCTCACCTGTCCAATTTTATTCATCAAAAGCTACCATCTCTCCTGCAAGATGAAAGCACCGATGCAATTACTCCTTACGGGAAGGACCATTAGATTATTGAGCCAAAGATGATAACTCTGCTACTTCCAAGACATTAATTGCTAACAGTGCATCCCCCACAGTACCGTTGAAATCATGGAAGGTCAAAATAAGACAAACTTTCGTTTTAGATCTTTAAAAGATGAAGACAATCACATGATCTATTTGCACCTTCACTCTGCCTTCAACTTTGAACTTGCCTTGCTGTTGACGTTGAGAGATTAATGACTTTTAGTTCTCCGTCAACTTCATTCCCTTTCTTTTTCTTTGAACCCATTTGAGTGAGGTTATAAGAAAGAAATAATTTGCTCGCTAGGGGCGACCTGAAGGAGTCCCCCCCCCCCCCCCCCCCCCCCCCCCCCCCCCCCCCCCCCCCCCCCCCCCCCCCCCCCCCCCCCCCCCCCCCCCCCCCCCCCCCCCCCCCCCCCCCCCCCCCCCCCCCCCCCCCCCCCCCCCCCCCCCCCCCCCCCCCCCCCCCCAATAATAAAGCAGCACAGACGTCATACCTTGATTAATAACAGAAATCTAGAAGCAACCTGGAGTCCTAGATCTCTTCATGGATTTCATTCGTAGTAAAGACAGAAGCCAAACTCCTGGAAGAACAAAGAACAAGTGAAAAATTAATGAGTTTTGTAGTATATATCACTTCAGATTAGGGAAAAGAAGAGACCTTTCTCGCTCTGGTGCCTAAAGCGCACTATGCTTCCCTTCAACAAATGAGAGTTTTCGGTAAAACCAGTGAACCACGCGAGCAGGTTAGATCTATGGGATAGAGGGCTCATAGTACCTGCTAGCGCAACTATGTAGTGGAAGGGAAGGAGCCTAAATCGACCCCTTTTTTCTTTGATTAAAAAAATCAGTACAAAGAGATTAGACTATCGGATGAGAGTAAGCAGAACCGACCGTTCCGACGCACCCCTGACCTATCTTGAGCTTTACCCGTAAGTGAAATAGACAAGTTCATTTTTCTTTCCATGAATTAGCTTTTGATGATAAAAGGACAGAGATATTGAGAAAATACAAGGTAAATATGAACAGAATGCCACTAAAAAATTCAAAGATGTAGCAAAAGCCCTTTTAAAATGCGAGAACAATCCTCTTGATCCAGGGCTAATCTGCAACTTTTTTGTTAAAAAAAAAAAAGTTTTTTTAGGTGCACATTAAAACATGAAACGAATAGTATTATGATAATAACATACTGAAATTTACTGAAATTTTGTAGGAAAAAAAGCTTTTGTAAGATATCGTTTTAAAAAATGATTTCAATTCAATCTCGTCGAATTAAAACAGCAAATAGTCATGTTACCTTGACCAAAAACCTTAGTTTCAAGCTTCAGCATGATACTCATTTATTGGATATTTTTTGTTTGAAAATTATTGAATTGCCAAAACCATGGAGTACCTGAAAAAAATACTCACTTTGATCCTATTTTACTGTCACCTTCGTATTCCATTAACTGAGGTATGGGATACAATCAATTTATCAGCATCATAAACTATTCTAATCAAAGAAAAAAATCAGAGGCCCCATACCAATTGAAGATGCTGATACAATTATTCCTTTCCACAACCCATATAGGATATGCAGAGACATGATTGGAACAATCCACTGCGGCCTCATGTGGCACCTGTTATTCTGAAGCATCCTGACATTGATAACTGCAGCCAGAAATAAAATATTATTGTTTATAACAAGTCTCTGAAACTCTCTCATCAGAATTTATAAAAAAATAAAATTCTTCTAACTGGTAATACATGGTAACGGCCCAAGCCCAGTACTAGTAGATATTGTCGTTTTTCCTTTTGGGCTTCCCCTCAAGGTTTTTAAAACGCATATGTTAGGAGGAGGTTTCCATACTCTTATAAAGAATGGTTCGTTCTCCACCCTAACCGATGTAAGATCTCGCCGACATCATATACAAAATAAAATATTCATAAACTATTGGTTTACTACTAACCTTACAAAAATATCATATAGTTGGAAGGTCTGTGTTTTGCGGCTACTCAACAGCAAACCAAATCCGAGGGGACCTTCAGCCCACACTGAAGCAAGAAATGGAAAATAAAATTTGGGAAGGAAAGTAATCAGAAATATTTAAAACTCTATCTGATAGGAAGTTAATAATGATGAAAAAAAGTATTGAAACCTGCCCAAATATAGCAAGGCCGCCTCCTTTGCCTCTTGAATTTGAGGAAATTAACAGATATCTGAACAGAGATATAGTAAGGTGGGATACATTGCACCTCGAACCATAAAATGAGAAAAAGAACGAAGAGTGATAGTGTAACCGCTCAAGCCTACCGCTAGCAGATATTGTTCATTTTGGCCATTACGTATCGGGCCAAAGCGGACAATACCAGTTAGCGGTGGGCTTGAGCTATTATAAATGGAGTGAGAGCTAAACGCTAGGCGGTGTGCCAGCGAGGACGTTGGACCCCAAAAAAGGTGGATTATGATATCCCACATCTATTGGAGAGGAAAACGAAATATTCTTTGTAAGGGTGTGGATATATCTCCTTGAAGATGCGTTTTAAAAATCGTGATATTGATAGTGATACATAACAAGACAATATCTCTAGCGGTTGGCTTGAATTGTTACATATAGAAATAGTTCCATGGAAGACCACAATTGACAGCAGGAGATTGAGGTTAACAAAAACTTGAATTACTAGAATCCAAAGCGGCTGAAAGCAAGAAAGAGGGATGATTTAATCCCCAATTTGAACATACAAATCAGCCATAAATCAACAGGAGCAAATGTGAGAAAAGCTTATCCTTCAAGAGCAACTAGCTCAATTCTAAAGGATAATACTGAATAAGAAAATGCAGATAGTTCCATGTAAATGAATTAAAAATAAATTCATTCAAGAAAACAAAGAAGTTAATACAATGTGCGAAATGGCTGGATCGTTTCAAGCTAAAGAAGACCAGCAAACAAAATTTGCGCATTAGGGCAAAGAATCTACAAGCAATCACTTCGAAACTGGTACAAGCACGAATAAAGAATCAATCAAAGAGCAGAAGAAAGAAACTCACAAAGCCATACAATGTGCAGCAAAATCTATCGCGATGTAATCGCTGGGGTAGCCACCGTCGACGGCACAGAGCGCCATTTTGCATCCGTTAAGATGAGTACCTTTCTTCCTTTGATTCAACGAAGCAATAGCTTGAAGTAATCGTCTGATTCGTCGGAAAATTTTAACATAATCAGATGATTTTGTTTCCATTGTTCTCCCTGCAATAATCGATTGATTATTGTTCGATTCTTATTCAGTGTCAAGAAGTTAATCATATGGTCCAAGTTTGGCTACCAATAGGTGGACATGGTATATTAGAGGTTCTTCCTTCTCCGTCCTCTCGTACCAAGAAAAGATTCTCCCGAAACTCTGAGGTCTAAATCGGATATGGACTTAATGTTCTCCCAACGTTCTAAAACTAGCTCATGTATCACTTTAATGTATAGTCCAACCCTTGAAACATAGGTGGCAAAGAGATAACTTCGAGATTTCAAACCTTATTGTCAATGTGAGTTCTTGGGAAGATCAGTTTGTTATTCTTAAAATAACTCTTATCTGTTAAGCTAGCCCATTACATATCGTCCTCAACCTCACGATTTTAAAATATGTTTATTAGAGAGAGATTGTCACACTCTTATAAGGAATGTTTTGTTCCCTCTCCAACCATGTGGGATCACAAAATCCACCCTCTTTGGAGTCTCAACATCTTTGCCGATGGCTCTAATACCATTTGTAATAAATTTGTTCCCTCTCCAACCATGTGGGATCACAAAATCCACCCTCTTTGGAGTCTCAACATCTTTGCCGGTGGCTCTAATACAATTTGTAATAAATCAAGCCCACCATTAGTAGATATTGTCCGCTTTAACCCGTTACGTATCATCGTTAGCCTCAAGATTTTAAAATGCGTCTTCTAGGGAGGGAGAAGTTCAACCAATGTGGGATCTCACATGGTACGTTGGATCATGAAGGTGGACTATAATAGCTTCCAAGATTCATTACTATTTTACTCAGTTCTCTTGAGAAACACTCTATCTTATGTTAATGAACCCTCCCTTGAAAAACACTTGTTAATAGATTTTTTTTAGATTATTTACGCGAGCAATTGATATGATCCAAGAAATCAATCATAAAATATAAACTTCAAAAATATGTGAAAAAATTGTTGTTCAAATTATTACAAGAAGTTGCAATTTATGTAAGAAAAATCAAGTTTCATTAATTCTAAGATAATTATAAATTTTGGGTGGCGATAGTTTAGAGTTATATATTTCATGAATGTTTTTTTAAAAAATTACGTCTGTCATGTATGTTGTTTTTGTAAGGTAGATTTGAAAAATATAGTAAAACGAGCATTTCTGCATTCGTTTAGTCAATGAACTAAGTTTCTTTTTCTATGTACGGTTCAGATATAAACATAATTTAGATAGTTAAACATGCGTTATCACACGTCACAAGTTTAAATCTTCACTCCATTCATGATATAATATTCAAAGTAAAATCCTGACAACTTTACACGGCTTTACGAAACTCTAGAGGCTAAATTGATGAGTTGTAAAGATTGGTTAGATGACCAAAATATGACCATTTCAAGCTAATTAGTCCTAATGTAGCTGATCAAATAAGACCATGTCAAAAGAATCATGTATTACCATTGACAAAAGAAGCTCCAAATTCAAAACTTATTTCACAATAAAATAATATAACTCAACTTTTTCTTTCTATAAAAATGGATTAAGTACAGAAAGAGGTAACCCAAGAAGCCTAATGTAATGAACAGAAAGAAAACACCATAAAAATTTTCCAAAATTAAGACACCAAAAGGAAAACTGTATACACAACCAATTGAATCAACAAAGCATCAATCTCTGCAGTTAAAAACCCACCACAAGAAGCCTACCAGAAGCACAAGCAGCTATGCGATGCTTTCTGCAAGAAAGAAACAAAATAGTTTGGCAAGATGTACTGCAGAAGTGAAACATAACAAAGAGGACAGCTGCAAAGAGGCATACTTGACATAGCACAACACAACAACACAACCTAACTAAGGAAAATTTCAGGTAATAAGGTAATAGGAGAGTATGAATACTCCCTCCATTTGATGTCCGTCTCCATTTGTATTTTTTAAAAAAGATGTTTATAAAGACAAAACGTAACAGCGTTAGCAGATATTGTCATTTTTGGGCTTCCTCTCAAAGTTTTTAAAACGTGTCTATTAGGGAGAGGTTCCCATACCCCTTATAAACAATGTTTGGTTGAAGTTTTTAAATTATTCATGTAATAGTCCAAGCCCACCACTAGCATCATATTGTCCTCTTTGGACTTTTCCTTCTAGGCTTCCCCTCAAAGTTTTAAAACACGTCTGGTAGGGAAAAGTTTCTATGCGCTTATAAGGAATGTTTTGGGATCTCACACGTAATCGCACTAGAAACAAAGGAAGTATGGTAATTCCGAGTAGTACTAGAAATTTATGACATAACATACCTCCTTTCTTGAATACTTTGGATTGTGATTCTTCTTAGCAGCTTCATGATTTTTACTTTTGTATTGGTTTTGGTTTTCCTGTGGTATCACATTATTTGGAGTTCCTCCATTCTTCTTAGTGTCTCGAGCCCTATCGAAAATCACTGTGAACCCTTCAGCTGCAGCAGGATCTTTTTCATCCCACTCACCAAACTTGGGCAGAGATGAACCCCTGTGAGCCTGCAAGAAAGAACAACTCAGAAATGGAAAGCAATGGCAGCTTCAACACCAATGACAACCCATCAACAAACCAGCAAAAGCAATGAAGAAAACAAGGCAACCAAGCATTAGAAAGCACAAAAATGGACGAAACAGAATCTTACTGATGTCATATCTGAAGATTGCAGATTGTTTTGAGCAAATGGAAAATGGCAAGAAGAGGAAGAGCTGTGGTTGAAGAAGAAGAGGAAGTATGGGTTTCTTCTTATAGAGTATTTGGTTTGGTGGCTGCCAAAAGTTCAATTTATCAAACGCGTAAGAGAGTTTTACCCTTGAGATGAAGAAAAGAGGACTTTGAGAGGCTCAAAATAGGCGGCTCATTGCAACTGCCTAATAAAGATGGCCCAATGTGAACAGAATTTATAAATGCAACAAGCAAGAGAATGTATTAAATAATGACAACTATACTATAAACAATCATATGGTTGCTCTTTTTCTAATAATGTAAAAGGTTAATGCCTACATAACCATAATGCACTAGAAAATTTTTAATTTAATTTGAGCCTGTATTAATCTTCGGCCAATAACAAAATGTATAGGGTTGTTTTATTTATTAAATGAGATTATATTTTTGTATAATAACAAATTGTAGGTCAAGAAAAATAATTTTCAAAGAATTGACAGAATCAGAAAAAGTAAACTGAAAATATTATAAAAGTATATCATATATATATTGCCTTGACTTGACTATTATATGGCCACGTTTAATCTTAGATGGAATTTCCAACACCAACAAAATTGAAGTTTATATATATATATATATATATATATATATATAATCATTAATACAAAAAATATCATCTTATTTTTTCAAAAAAACAGTATTTAAAATAACTAGCAAAAGCTAATATTATTGCATATGTTAAAATCACTAAAAATATATATTATAAGTTGAAACTACCACCAACAATATCAGAAGAAGCATCTATAAGAGAAACGAGAAAAAAACAAAGAATTCAAACTTTTTTTTTAATAAAAAATGGAAAAATATTTTAAAAATAGTTCGCAAACAACACGATGAACTTGAATCTATATATATATATATATATAGATAGATAGATATTTAAACAGCAAGCTACTAGAAATGAGTTGGAGCATTGGTAACCATTAGGAAGTTACATAATTGACCATATCAACAAAAGAAAAGACTGAATGAAAAAAAAAATATGATATAAACTCAATCTATCATCTAAGAAGTACAAAAGAAGATATGGGTTCTCTGAACTCCTAAAAGTTGAGTCCCGAGAATCAATATAGGCATGACAACAGGCATAATCTAATGTAGTTAATAAATGAACCAAGAAAAAACAGAGAAAAGGATGGTTGTTATATACATGATACAATTTACCGACACATGAAGGAAATCCCTTTGTTGGTGGAGGATCATATATTTGGTCACAAAATGGCTCCCAGTAACCATATGTGTATCAAGAACCAGTAGGTAATGAGACCTAGCCTTGCGCCTGGACGACTCATTAGAATTCGACCGCCGGAGACCCTGCAAAGGGTTTAGGATCAGGGATACTTGTATCGTATCAAAATGTAGAAATTTGAGTATACGGTGTCGTTTGACAGTTCAGTGAAAATGGATGTGTAACCAAATAGAGTTCTCAATGTCTTGTAATCATTTTTCCTATATGGCGGGGAGGAAATTCTAGTAGTCTCAGTAATCATGTCGTGACCATAGTTTACCACCATATTATGATAATTCAAACAGGAGTTTGGGTGAAGCAAGCGTTTCTGTCAAAAAATAGTGTGGCCTCATGAAAAATTAGCACTTACCAAACTCCATCAATTCGATCTGCAATAAGTTTTCCATGTCTTGGGATAAGACCTGATGAATTGAGAGATTTGAACGCATGACCTGAAAAAGGACATGTGTAAGTTCTTTAGGTTTTGAAACTAATCAAACAAGTAGGCAAAACTTATAACAAACCTTTGTCTTTATCAATTTCCATGGCATTTCCTATTAAACGATCGGATTCTGTTTCAACGTCAATCGCAAGATGATCAGTTGAACCTTTTCGCAACATTCGAGCATGGGCAGCTGAGGCTGGTGGAACAGGCGGTATTGCACTTTTCCCGACTGGTCCCTGCAAAATACCAACAGTAGAAGATGTGATCCATGGAATTTACTGACAAGAGAAACATTTATATGAAACACACATCTACAAAAGAGTATCCTACTTATACTTCTTACGGATAATATAGTAGGTACCTATCCGACAGACCCAAGCAAGCAATTTATATTCCATATCTTAAAATTCACGTTTTTTTTTTTAGCTGTTGTGATTTGTGACAACTAAATTCAAACTTAGTACATGGATATGTACCGCTTCTTCAATTTCTGATATCTCTGATCCAGAAGGAAATGGTGCTTCAAAGATGCTCCTTTCTTTTATGATCTCTGATTGAGATGTCCGGCCATGAAGTGACTCTTCAAGTAGCTTATTCTTGGTAGTTAGTTCATCCACAACCTTTTGGCTACCTATTAACTTCTTACTCAGTTCCTCAAATTTGGTTTTTGAATTTTCAGATTCTGAAAGCAAATCCAGGACCTGCCTTGCTATAGTTCTTACTAGTTCCTTCAACCCATCGGACTCAGAATCTCCACTATATTTACTACCCAACAAACTAGTATGTTGTTCCAAAGAATAAGAAAGCTCCGAGAGATCTTTCTTCATCTCCTCTAAATCGAGATGATCCCTCGATGCTCTATCAACCCCCTCTTTTAGCTGTTCAATTGCAAGTGTTTGTGTAGTCACTGTAGACTGCAGCTTTTGCTTGTCATGAGATAATAATTTCAGCTGATCTTGTAACTCAGAAACATAATCAGTTAGGTAAAAGAGCTTCTTTACATCAGGTGAAGCATATTGTTCCAGATCTTGATATTCTGATTCTTGAAAAAGGAACTCGATTCTTCTAACTTTCTCAAAGAGGGCTTTCATTTGCATTGCTGACAAAACGCAGTCTTCTGCCACAACGAAAAATATAAATAAGCAATCAGAATATTTTTAAAAGGTCGTGGAAAACTTCTACAAATATTTGAAGAAAGAAGAAAAAAGGGTTTACCTTGTTCTTTCACCAAACTACTATACAATGATGAAACTTCAGCCTCTCTTTCTTTCAACTCTTCTTTATTTGCCTGACAGGCCTCCAGTTGACGCTTCAGATCATCACAGGAATTCTGTAATAGTTGTAAATCAGCCTCCAACTTAACTACCATAATTTTGTTCAAGTCCCTTTCCTCTCTAACTTTCTCAGTAGTTGCCTCAGTTATTTCTAATATATGCTGCGTATCTTGAATTCTAGCAGCTGCACCCTTAATGACGCTCTCAAACTGTTTAACCATAGATTGAACTTTTCTACTTGCAGCCAATAATTTTTCTGCAGCAGCAGCTGACTTGCTTCTAGTAGAATTTGCTGGAGACTCTGCAGCTGAAGCTCCATTAGTTTCACTACTTTCCATGGGTATGCTATCCTTCAAGTTGTCAAGTTCGGGAATAGAGTCGAGTAAGAGTAGATGGTTGGTCATTTCAAACTGAAGTTCTTTTGTTGCTTCAACACAGGCAGACAATAAAAGTGAAACATCATCTTCCAGCATCACTTTGGTATTTTCTTGTTCCTGTTTATACATTTCGAGATTCTTCACCATCTCTTTCAAGGATTCAACGTGCCCACATACAAAAACTACTTCCTCCCTTGTTGCTTCTACTTTTTTTAACAGATCAGCCATAAACCCGTTCATTGAAGAGGAGAAACCTTCAAAATAATCTGTGAATCTTTCGTTCTTTAACCATATTCCTTCCATAATCTTTCTAAAAGATGAAGAAATGTTGCCAGCATCACCTTCAACAACCACTTTACCACTTTCAATTTCAGCATCAAAATCAAGGAGCTTTTCATGAGAGAGGTACTCCATAGCATGCGGATCCTGGATTAAATTAGAAAAAAACATAATCATTAAAATGAAACCACAAGGAATATTTGAAAATAGTTAATTAAATACTTCACATATTTCTACAATGCGAAAGGCACACACGTGTCAATGTGCCACAAGGGGGGGGTGGGATCCACTGTTAATAGGTTCAAAAGAGCATCAAATGGCGGCATTCAGAAAGCAAACGGAAAAAGAAGTATAATGCAGAATTTTGTCCAACGAGAAAGCTACTTTTATAAAGAAGAATAAAAATACAAAAGAAAAACAGGCATTAAAAAGGCTCGGCCAAAGGAGGTACCAGAACACACAAACATTAAAGACACAGACCGGAATAAACGATCAGCATGCTGAATAATTTTTGTATGGACTTGTTGAAAGCTATAAAAGTTAGTATTTTTCCAATCTTTGATAACCAGAAAAAAAATGAGAAAATACCTTAACAGCATGATGACTATGAGAACCTATTATACCGCTGTTAACAAAACAATCACTAGTGTTCTTCAGAACGATATCCATCTCTCTTAGTCTCTCAAAGTTCTTCTCAAAGCATCGTGTCACCACAGTCAACAATGTCTCATCTGCAATAAACTTATGAAGATCATTGAGGTAGCCCGCAAACTCTATAGATCTGCTCTCTAAGCTGCCACTAGTCCCGGCCAACTCTTCCATGCATGCATTTAATTTGGAATTTAGAGCAAATATTTCATTTTCAGAATCTTTCCTCTCACCTTCAATTATAGAAATTTTACTTTCTGCCTTACGTAATGCATTTTCCAAAGATGTTATTGATTCAACTGCCTCAACAACTTTGCACTCTTGAGAGCTGACTTCCTCTTGCAATATCTTTCGCTCAGTTTCTAGCTTCTCTATAGCACTTTGTGCTTCAGCATTCTGTTCATTCAGCAAAGCAACATTTGTCTCAAGCTCGATTAATGTCTTTTCTAACGTGTTTATAGTTCTATGGGCCTCTGCCAATTTATCTGTCTGAATAGCCACTTCCTCCTTTACTTTTTTAGATTCCATCTCTACAGTGACTTTACAAACTTCAGCTTCTTCTTTATCTTTGACAAGCGCAAGTATTTTATTTTCTGCCTGTGATAACGATTCTTGAAGTAGGTTCATGGATGAATAAGTCTCTGCAGACTTGCTGGACTGTGAATAGGCTTCATCTAATGCTTTCTGTAATTCGTGTTCAATGTGTATCTTACTAGATTCTATTTCCTTTTTCTCCTCAGAAAGTTGAAAAATGTTTTTCTCAGCAGATGATAATGCAATTTCCAATGAGTTCATAGCAGCTAAAGCATTTCTTAATTTACTTTCCATAGTACTTAATTCCTCTTTAATACTCTCCAATTCTTGTTCTTTACATATCTTAGCATCATGTGATTCCCTAATGTAGTCTGCAATCCACTTCACCTTAGCTATAGGCTCTTCAAACACTATATTAATGGGAAGAACAATTCCATCAATTGATTCAATTACTTTCTGTAACATATTATTGCTCTCTAATAAGAACTGCTCATATTGATTGCATTTTCCCTTCAAGATATCAAGATCAGCCTCCAACTCTGGAATGCGCTGTGTATCAATAGACAACAAATTGATTTGATTTCTGCAATCATCAACTGTTGATTCTAGACTATCTAATTGTAATTTCAACTTCTCTATTTCTATGTTCTTATCATCTAAGAGACTTTTCATATTTTCCCTATCCTGAACAAGTCCTTTGCCTTTCTTGACTGCCAAGGACAACTTTTCCCTTAGCATGGCATATTTCTCCTCTGATCTTTGGATATCTCTCTGCAAAGAGTCATTTTCCTCTTTCACTTCTCTAAGTTCTTGAGATACTGATCTTAATCTAGTTGAGTAATTACTGATATTAGAAGACTCCTCTTCTAGGAGTATATCATGGAGCATCAAATCCTGATGACTAACATACAAAAGAGTTTGAACCTTTGCAAAAGATTCTACGTATTCACTAGAAATTTCAGCAGCAACACTGGCCTGCTCTTTTATCCTCTGAAAGCATCTGTAAGCAAGCAAGTTTAAGTCCAACGAAATTCCACTGACCCCTCCATCATCTGTTATCATTCCAGATTCTTCTTGTAACATTTTTATGATTTGAGCCTTCTCCAACGAAGCCTGATGCTCTTTTATCATGACCACTTCGTGTTTTCTTAACAGATCTTCGTGTTTTCTTAACAGATCTTCGTGTTTTCTTAACAGATCTTCGTGTTTTTTTAACAGATCATCCAACTCCTCCTGGATATAGTCCTTTTCCTGTAATTCAATTGAAAGTAACGCACTTATGCGGTCAATCTCTCCACATGCTGCTTCTTTTGTTTTAGCAAGTTCATCTCGCAAGATCATTATTTCATCTTTAGCCTGAAAAAATGATTCCTTAAGCCAACTGACGGAAGATTTCAGGTCATAAGGTGCAATCAAATCTGGAAAATCAGATAAGTTTTGAGTATCTTTTAATTTATGAAACTCCAATAAAATAGCCTCCAGGACTTTCTTCTCATCCACAAGCCACTTGATTCTTTCTATACTATCCATTGACGTGAGTTCACGAGGAACTTCAACTTGAGATATGATATCCTCAAAAGTTTCAAGGACCGTATTCCTTTGCGACAAATTTTCCTGAAGTGATGCAACTAAATTTTCATTTTTAGCCAAGTCAACCTTAATTAGTTCTGCAGCCTCCAAGGCATTCGATTTCTCTTGTAATTCAATAGAATATTTTTCAAGCTCATGACCTTTGTCAGCTAGAGACTGTTTTAATGCATCACGTTGCTGTACTAACGCCTTGCCTTTTGTCACAGCCATTTTTAGCTTCTCTTTGGTACTAGCACCCCTCATCATTTCCTGTTCCAGCTCACTTTTTGCTTTTTCAAGTTCTGCATTAACAGTCTCAACTGTCAATCTGTAATTGTCTAGCTCAACAGCCAATCTTCTATTTTCATCTTCCAGTTGATGCATTTTTGCAACATTGCTTACCTCTTTAGCTTTGAGCTCAATTAACTCATCACAAGCAGAGCCCAAAATTGTTTCCAATCCTGCAAAGACGATGTCAGACTCTGCCCCAGATAAACATTTTTGGAGTTGATTGATTTCCAGAAGGATTTTTTTATAATTATCAACCAACAGAGAAGCGCTTCTTTCAACAAGAACTGTTTTCTCAGATGTAGAATCGCCAGGGAGATCTTGCTGATTCAATACTGAGTTGACAGAAGCTAGCACTCTGTCTAATGTGGCATTCGTATCCCTCTCCTTCTCTAACGAAATTTTCATAGAATCTTCAATTGAATTTGCATAAGAGCGAGCAACTTCATCAGTCACCGAAATTTCGACAACCTTTGCATTAAGATATTCAATCTCTTGATCCTTCGTTAAGAGGCTATTACGGAGTCCTCCTATAGTAACCTCGTACTGCAACCGTTCATCTAAAGTCCTATTAACCAATTGTGAGCATTCATTTATTAGGTCTTTCAATGTGGTATTAGTAACCAAAGTGTTCTCTTCAACCTGCTCGTCGTTCAACTGACTGCCAGTAATATCGAACAATGACTGTTGATTAGTAGCAGTCTTTAATTGGCGACGAATGCTAAGAAGTTCTTGCACAAAAGCTTCTCTTTCTTCCTGCAAATCAAGCACCCAAAAAAAAAAATTAATGCCACTCCAAAAATGTCGTATCGACAACTGGAAGAAGGATTATGAACCTCAAAATCTTGTATGACATTTTCTTTCTCAAAAATGGTCTCATTCAGAGTGGCCCTCGTATTTTCGACCTCGTGAATTAAAGAAACTTTTTCTACCTCATACTGTAATTCCTGCGTATCAGAAGGCACTTCCTCCGTCGAACTACCTTGAGTTTCAGCAGCTGCTACTGCTTCTCTGATATCAGCATTGCCAACCAACTCGTCCGGGCAGTCCACAAACATATCTTCTTTTCCAACATCTTCGACTATTACAATATCATCAGAGTCATCTTGTGGCAAGTTCTCTGCACCTTCGGTTCGAGGAACCTCTGGTGATATCGCCGATCCCTAAACTCCATGTTAAAAAGCATATTATCTTCAAAGTATTAACTTCCATTTTCTTCTCAAATTAACAAGGAAAATTCATGCTAAGAAATTTCTGCAGCTTGTGCATGCAAATCAATGCTACACTAACCTGGTTCGGTTCGGACGGGACAAATCCACTGGATATCTCAGAGGACTGCAAAACAGAGTCATTCTCCGAAACAATGTCCGCGGACGTCTCAGAGGATGACTCCACAACACCATCATTAACCGTAATTTCCACAATTTCCACCCCATTATTTCCATCTTCAGCTCCAGTTCCTGAACTCAGCAGCGCCTGCTCTGGATCATGATTCTCAGACATGTCGATATCTCATAACCCACCGCCCTAACCTCAAGAAGAATTAGATCTCATACAAAACAAAATAACCCTAGCAAATCAATTACCTCAAAAGAATTCCAAAATGAGATCTAAATTAAATTGGATCAAATAACCATTAAACCCTCAAAATACAAGATTGCACCCCCAATTCGTAGAATTACAAATTCAAAAAAGAAAAAAACAATACATAAATCCAAATGGCAGGTAAAAGAAATGGGTACCAGCAAAATCACTATCGCAATTGCTTACAATGATGAATGAGTAACTGTCAGATATCGATACTGGATCAACAACTCGATAACCTTCTCCACATGAATCTGTAGAGAGTTAAAGCAATTAATTCCGCAAATCAATTGACCTGATTTAGCGTCACGGTTGGTCTGAATCGCAGGCTCAACTTCATTAACGAGCCTCTACCGAAATGTCGGTTCAGGCCCATCCCCTGCTCGATCTAAGTTTCCTAAAAGTCAAAATTTGATCTAAGCCAATCCATTCCTTAGTTAAATTGGAAACAAATCGGTATTTTACATGACATATTGGTTAGAGATCATCATTTACCCTAATACATAGGACACGTCCTAAATAGGGTAGAGAATTTTCATTTATACTAACTTTGAGTTAAATGTTGGTCAGAGATCATCATTTACCATGCTACATAGGACCCGTCCTAGATAGGGTAAAGAATTTCCGTTTATACTAACTTTGAGTTAAATGTTGGTCAAAGATCATCATTTACCATGCTACATAGGACCCGTTCTAGATAGGGTAGAGAATTTCCGTTTATACTAACTTTGAGTTAAATGTTGGTCAGAGATCATCATTTACCATGCTACATAGGACCCGTTCTAGATAGGGTAGAGAATTTCCGTTTATACTAACTTTGAGTTAAATGTTGGTCAGAGATCATCATTTACCATGCTACATAGGACCCGTCCTAGATAGGGTAAAGAATTTCCGTTTATACTAACTTTGAGTTAAATGTTGGTCAGAGATCATCATTTACCATGCTACATAGGACCCGTTCTAGATAGGGTAGAGAATTTCCGTTTATACTAACTTTGAGTTAAATGTTGGTCAGAGATCATCATTTACCATGCTACATAGGACCCGTTCTAGATAGGGTAGAGAATTTCCGTTTATACTAACTTTGAGTTAAATGTTGGTCAAAGATCATCATTTACCATGCTACATAGGACCCGTTCTAGATAGGGTAGAGAATTTCCGTTTATACTAACTTTGAGTTAAATGTTGGTCAGAGATCATCATTTACCATGCTACATAGGACCCGTCCTAGATAGGGTAAAGAATTTCCGTTTATACTAACTTTGAGTTAAATGTTGGTCAGAGATCATCATTTACCATGCTACATAGGACCCGTCCTAGATAGGGTAAAGAATTTCCGTTTATACTAACTTTGAGTTAAATGTTGGTCAGAGATCATCATTTACCATGCTACATAGGACCCGTCCTAGATAGGGTAAAGAATTTCCGTTTATACTAACTTTGAGTTAAATGTTGGTTAGAGATCATTATTTACCGTGCTACATAGACCCGTCCTAGATAGGATAGAGAAGTCTTAGATAGAATAATGAATTTCCATTTAAACAGCGAGTATACCGCCTTTTCAATTTAAAAATAAATGTATATTTTTTTCTATTACAAACTATTAAAAAAAAAAATAATAATTAATTTTTTCATGTTTTCTTTGTTTTCATCGTTTTATTGTTTTATATCTTAGTCAAACAATGAATTTTATGTTTCTTTTAAATAATTATTAATTATATATAACAATATTTTTTAGAAATTATGTTGGTAAGATATTATATTATTTTTTTTTTTTTACACTTTTTTAATAAGAAAAATTATTATAAAATGAAAATTATTATTATAATATTTTTATAATAAAAATTGAGAAGGTTTCTCTGAAAGATGCGACCCATGAGGTCAACTAAATATATGCATGTATAACTTTTTATATATTGTATTTTAGATATTTAAAAAAATAATTTTTAATATTCTTTATTAAATATATTTTTTTATAATTTATAAATAGTTAAATTAATAAAAATACCTTCTGGAAAAAGCTTAAACAATGAGGTATTTTGTATTTTGTTTCAAAAATATTCTAGATAAGTAATATTTTTTAAATAGTTAAAAAAAAAAAACTACGAGTTAGGTAATGAACACTATTTGGGTTGCTAAAGTCACCAACCCAACCAACTAACCCCAGATTTCGGGTTGGTTCAAAATACTTTTCCAACCCAACCTGCATCACCCTATATGACACATTAACTTTGGTCGAGAAAGCAACCCATCTCTTGAAGAACAAACGGTATAAGAAAAGAAAAGAACCAAAACACCGAGCAAAGGAGAACGAAACTTTTGTGTTGAAGTCCAAATTCACATTCCATATGCGTTTCAATGCTAAACACTTGTAAAAGGGACATCATAAAACTATGTTTCATTATACAAAACTTCTTCAAAGGCCTCTCTTCTAGGAATGTAACGGCTCAAGCCCAAGCTCATCGCTAGTAGATATTGTCCCTTCCAATTTTCACCTCACAGTTTTAAAATGTGTCAACTGAAAAGAGGTTTTCATACCTTTATAAGGAATGTTTTGTTCCCCTCTCTAACAGATGTGGGATCTCACAATCCACTCTTTGAAGGCCTCTGATACCATTTGTAACAATTTCAGCCCACCGCCAGCAGATAGTGTCCTTTTTGGGCTTTCGCTTCTAGACTTCCTAATAAGAAATCAGCCTAAGGGCTCGGATACATATGATATAAAATCATTACAAGGGGAGTAAGATTCAGATTACCTCAAATATCTCAAGGCAAGAACACTCGTTGGAGATTCGAATCACTCCACAAGCAAGATTGATCATGTTTAACTTAACTTGAATGATTCTAAACGAGCAATCTAAACTTAGCCATAATGATAAAGAAACTTAGTCATAGGCTAAAAAAAAGCGCAAATGCTACTTTTATTATATTTTCCAAGTCTCTTTACAATGATTACATAACTTTATATAGACTTAAAATAAAACCTTTAACTTTACCCGAAGCATTTCAAGAGTCTGTAACATAGACTATAATTATCCACAATGTAAATTAGTCTTAAAATACATTAAACAAACCACATAGCTCTAAATTACTATAAATTATGATCCACCCAAAATTCATAACAATGAAGATTCATTCTTCTCGAATGGAAATATCATTTAATAATTTCAACCACATTTTCTTCCCAAGTATATTGTATGATTGGTGTCTCTTGGTTCATATCACTTCCTCTCAAGGTTTTAAAACGTGTCCACGAAAGAGAGGTTTCCTCGCTCTTATACGAAATGTTTCGTTCCCCACTCAAACCGATATGTGATCTCACAATACCTTTAATCTACATCTTAAATGGCTCAAATGCTCTCTCTTTTCGTCGTCTCGGTAGGACAGAAGCCCAAAGTCGATAAACACGTGCGAGCAAACCTTACTATCATACTATACACTCCATCAGAGACCAAATTCATCTTTATTGACAATTAGTGCATTAGAAATGAAATGGCACTTTCAAGTTCATAACATACACTAGAAATGACATGAGCCCAGATGCGTTATTAGTTCTAACTAAGCATGCCATTTGATCAATCATTATTCTATACGAAGTGGAGAGTACAGACCTTTACATGTCGAGTCGGGATTTCCCTCTATACACTTTACTCGAACCTAGAATAGATATTCAGAATATACTACGAACAGCGCGTCTGGATAGTCTTTTGGCAAGCTGTTTATATAGCGATGGAAGCGCAACGTATCCTCCTTCGAAACGGTTTCGGCATCAACCACATCATCACTACACGTGAGCACCCATAAGTCCTCTGAGTTAACTCTCTTCAAGCTGCCACGACAAAACGGGCAGGACTCCGACCTCGTGTTCCTGTAATGTAGGAGACGAACGAGCATTTGAACACACACAAACAACACACTTCAAAATGCTTCATACACAACGAAGATGCATAATAAGACTCGTTTTTTTTACCAATTTCGATAGCATTTGATGCACATTGCATGACAACAATTTGGCAAAACCATCTTGGTGCACGGCTCCAAGCAAATACCACACTCGTCTTCTCGCTTCATATCGACATTCGTGAGTCTAACATCTTTATCGCCTCTCTTCTTGCTCGGCATCTCAATCCAATGGCACTCTTCCTTGCAATCATCCAGCTTATCCGAGCTACTGTGGATTCGCTGAAGTGATGGCAATATTATAGCTGATATTCGAAACAAGATCAAACACAAATGATCAGAACACTCAGAACTACTCACAATTGAAAGAACAGCAGCTAATTAGCTAAACTAAACAATTCAGTACCATAGAATTCCCTAATGGTTGCCTTCCTTCCATGTCTAGATATACTTCGTTTTTGTTTTCCCTCTGGATATACCTGAATTAGATAGCAAGCTCAAGAACAAGATAGCTTCCTGTAATCATCTAATGGCTAACAATTACAAGAACCCTACAAACCTTGTACACAAGTATGTGGAAGAGGCTTAAATATCTGGGAAACAAGCATGAGCAAGAACAATCCATCCAGTGAAGCAAGAACAAAACAATGGGAGCTAAATGATTATAAACCAATTTCATTTGAAGATAGGCACCTCCTTTCGCCATGGGGATCGCCGCCGCCCTAAAACCCCAAAAATCAAACGAAGAACAGAATAAATAACCTAAAAATCCGTAAACCCTTTCAGAAAATCGTCGATCATCATGATTGAAAGGGAAAATTAACAAAACTTACAGAGAATTTGCATATTGAATATCGGCTTCCAAAACTTGTAAAGAATCGTGATGAGAGAATTTCTCGAGCTGATAATACATAATCCGAGAAATTCCGTTTTGTCTTCTGCAAGAAACCGATGAAAACAGGGGAAAAACCAGAGCGTAAAGCTCTTGTTCTTCGTGGCTATGGCGGAAGAACAACAATCTCTCGTTTAGAAATCGATCACCCAAAATCCCCAATCAAAAATGAAACTGGAAATTTGAGAGGGAAAACCCCAACAAACCCAATTTCGAAACCCTAAAAGAAGCTTTTAGGGCGCTTTGTGCTCCTTTAGTCAATGGCGGGTGGCAGTGAAATGACCTCTACTCACCTCTGTGGACAGAGAAGCATTCAGAAACGATGAAGATGAAGATTGAGTGGTTGGATCAATTATGGGTTTGCTGGAAATATATATATATATATATATATATTTCTAATAAAAGCTTGAATTTAGTTCTTATCCGTACAAAACATAATCCTTTCAAGCTGGTTTCCTTTGAATATTTAATTTTGTGAAAATCATAATTAATTAATTTTTAATTAATATTATATATTTTCTACCTTCCATTATTGGAAATAGAATTATTATTTTAATTTTGATGTAAATGACGTATGCCCACTTAATTAATT